ATTGTTGGATTTTAATTAAATTTTCAGAATTTATTCACAACTGACTTAAATCATTTAAAATTTTTTTTTTATTCCCACTTAGTTTTATGAAATTTCAAGAAATTAAATTCCGCCCTCTTCATATTTACATTAGTTAAAAGTAGGACTCCCTTTACTGAAAATCACCTCTGAATTGTAAAATAAAAAATGCAATTATGACATTAATTAGAAAAGCTTTTAATTGCTTTTATAAATAAGATATATTAAAGACACTATTTTTCTTAAGAAAATATTTTTTTCCATGAATAATGAATTTTTATAAGAATTGTTTACATTTAAAATGAAATTTTTATTTGAATAGTTTAATTTTTAAATCTTAATTATTAATTTCACGCTTTTAGATCATATCATTATTAAGTAAAAACTATATTTACTAATCATAAATGGAAAAGCTTATCAAACTGCAATATTTTTAAAAGAATTTTAATTTTTTTTTTGTATGTGTATAAATGTGCCAACTTATGGAGACGGTGGCCCATATACATCAGAAAATAAATTTAAAGCCATAAAATATCTAAAATTCAATAAAACATTAGATTATTTTCTTAATTTTTTAAGCTTACTGAGTACTTTATAAAAAAATAAAAAGCGAACATTGAAGTCAACACTCAGAGGCGACAGGCTGTGTCACGCTGGACACAATTGTCAGGCGCGACGATTGCATCCAGCATGAAACAGCCTGTCACCTCTGAGTGTTGACTTCAATGTTTACTTTTATATTTACATATGCTCTATCTCTGATATTGAGCACTTTATCCCAGAAATATAGCACACATTAAAACTATATTTCTTCATATATATATATATATATATATATATATTCAATTATTTTTTTTATAGCTAAAGCCCCCATAGAACAACATTAGATAAATATCAATCTGTTAAACATGTTAACAGCTTAAATAAACAGTTACTGTTATGTTAAAAAAATAAATTTCTGCAATATTTTAAAATTAAAGTAAATAATATTTGTTTCAAATCAGATTAATTATATTATAGGTAATATTCCTCAAATAAAGTTTCATAAAAGCATATTTTATTTTTGGAAGACTTTTTAATAAAGAGAATTTCATTGAGATGAAAAATAAAAAAAAAATCTTTCCAGTCACTTTAAATTGGTTTTTGAAATACAGCAAAGTATTTTGTTTATTGGAAATATTAAATTTAATCCATTAACTTAAAATTAAAACTTAAAATAAAAGTTTGAAGTTTTTAATTTTTAAAAAATTCATTTTAAATCTGATGTATAGTATTTTCTGTAGAGGTACCTATATAATAATAATTATGTAGAAGTCTAATAAGTGAGTACCCACAGATCTGTGTAAAAAAAAATCCAGGACTATGTTAAAAAGTTTCAAGGACTGAAACTGATACACACACACACACACACACACACACACAAAAGTGAATGGTCATCAATTCAAAATGGTCAACTCAAAGTTTTTGATTTATCTTTTAATAGTTTGACAAATGAGATGTTCAAAGAAAAGCTACAGCTGGTTCCAATAATTCAGGTCACATAGATCAGTTGAAAGAAAGTTGAAGAAATCAGTGTTGAAGGCTGAAACATAACTGAATGCAGACCTGGTTATGTTACACATTTTGTGTAGCATTCTACAGTTTGGAGTTCTACTACACTTAAAAATTTTGAATTACTTTAATTCTTCCTGCTACACATTTCAGCTATCTAGATTACTCATGGTTTGTGATTGTCACAAAAATTCTTGACTGTTGCACATTTCTTGTGAAGTTAAGTATAATGGTTTTAATGAACAGAACTATAAATAGAAATTTTCACAAAAAAGACTACACATTTTAGCTACCCCTACTACTCATGGGTTTTGTTGCACATGGCATGGAACACAATGATCTTAACATTTTTTCAGTTCATCTAGTTTAGCATTCAGCTCCTCTCCCAATTTGGATATCTCTATGGATTTGTCCTTTGCAGATCTTTGTATGGCATTGGACTTTGTGATAAGTGCGAAGTTCTGAGTGTGACCAGCTTTCTCCATATAGCTGTTATAGTATATAAATATCAAATCCTTTTATACATATTTTTTTTGACAACCAATAGGTGAAGCACAAATAAGTAAGAAATGCCCACATCATTAAAACAAAAACTTTTGTATAAATCAGTCAAAGAAAAAAAAAGAAGAAGAATCCAAAATTAAATAATTGATTTCTGGAATTTGATTAGGCAGTACAGTCATGTGCTAATGCTTCTGACTATGTCTGTGCATTTAAACTCCAAATGAACTGGTCGCCAGGTGCTGTCCCACATAATCTGAAAAGCTTATGTTTGGAGCCAATCATATGATCAGGATAACTATATAAACACCGATTTTGGGGGCACTAAAAACACACAGAGCAAAAACCCAATCAGCAGCTGGACATGGATCACTCATCAATGACAAGCTGTTGGATCTATAAACATTTGACCAGAATTCTCTCATTACCATAACACCTCAGTCTACACACCATTCAAAGGAATAGTTACACAAAAAGAAATTTTCATAGCCATAAGAAAAAATGTCTAGATCATCTATCTGTATGCCCATTTCCTTTTGGAACCATTGTAATCAGATTTCACATATTAGCATGAACACAGAGTCAGCAGCCACACATACACTGTTAAAATGTGCTTTAGACACATGCACATATATATACACTTTATATTGACCAAGGCATATGACTTTACAAACTACCTTTAACAAATGAAAAATTTTGTCAAATACTTGAACTTTGATTTTTTATGACCAAAACAAACACAATGTACAGGACATTGGTATTTGTTTAAAACTTAACTTAAACCTGTACCAATAGTTAAGAACATAGTTTTTTTTTTATGAAACTTAGAATTCTTTTTCTTTTTTTTTTTTTTTTAATGTAATTAATTTTAAATGGTATTTATGAGTTTACAGTTTTTTTTCTTATTTATTTGCTAAAATTACAGATTAGGACCCAAAAACCAATTTAAAAAAGAAGCATCATGGTGTAAAAAAGTCTGAATATTCCAAAAATAGCATTAAAGATTTGCGGAAACATACTGTTTAGAGATACTGACAATCTTAGTGGGGTTTTGTATGCTGGGTTAGGCCTTGTTTACACGCCTTGATTACTGCACACTGGATCGAGGAGGCCAGGCGCATAGTAATCAAGAAGGCCAGAGCACAGTAATCTAGTGACTCGTCCCATAAGGGCGGCTGTGTTGTACCCGGGACCAAACTAAGATTGCAAGTGCAGTTGATTCCCACAAATTTTCACTGCTATATTTTTTTTAATAATCAGGCCTTCTTTTTTTTTTTAACAGCAGAAATGATGTTTCTTTTTTTTAAATTGGTTTCTGGGTCCTAATCTGCAAGTGCAATGTTACCATTTATTATTTTATTGCTCTTTATTTTCGTACCAATTTGATGTCATATCCAGTAATTGAACCCAATGTATTTTGAAAAAAATATTATGAATAAGACAAGAAGAGTCATTGAATTTCCGAAAGGGAAATGTAGTCAAATGCGGTATTTCATTTTGTAACATCCAGACAAAAAAATAAATAAACAATAAAGAATTTCTAAAATGAAAAAAAAAAAAAAAAAAACAATAAATTAAAATTATTTAAAAAAAATTAAAATGGCATTTTAATCTTACTCTTATATTTCGATTCTTCAATCATAAGTAAAAAAAAAAAAAAAAAAAAAAACTTTTCTGATTCACACTGAAAATTAATTACAAGTAACTTTTTTTTTTAAATAAGTGTAGATTTTTTTCTGTCCAAATATAAAAGAACGTAACATGTTTTTAAAATGCAAATACCAAATGTCAGAAACATTTATTTTTGTAGTTTTATTTAATTATTTTCGGTAAGATTCGGGACGAATTTTTTCGTTAACCCTAGAAATTAATAACGGAAAAAATAAGTTAAGGGGAGGGGGCAAACTCCATAAAAAACATTTCCCAATTTCCCAACCTGGTCAGTGTACAATTCATGAATAAGTACTGTAAATTCTGTTTGAATCGGATAGATAATTCTTTGATTTTTGTCAAAAATTCTAAAAAATAAAAAAAACGGGGTGGCTATTTGTATTTGTTTTCATTTCTTTAAAATAAAATAAAAAAAGCATCCATTTTATTTTAAACTTGTACCTAAAAATTAACAGGAATTATTAGCGATTATTGAATTAGTAGTAAAATGACGTGACTAAAAAATCCATGTTTTAAACTTTCATTCTTAAATAACGTTGTTTTTTTTTTTTGGTGTTTATTTTTAGTTTTGCATTAAATTTCGGTTAAAAAATAAAAAAGTTTCATAATTCACAAGGTCAAACAAAATAAAAACAGGCTGACTTCAGACGAGAAACACGTGGGCCACATAAAGGAAGACCATCTGATCTTTAAAAATTGTTCTGTTTATTAGTCGATTCTTTTTCTATTTTTAAAAACAAATAGAATTTTTATAAAATCATTCTCTTCTCAACCATCAAAAACACTGAAGTTGACTTTCTCGATGAAACTATTGTTCATGTTAGTTAAACTATGACATTTTGGTTTATTTACATTTTTTAATCTTGAAAATAAATTATAAATCCACCCACATTGATTTTTAAACTAAAAAAGCAGATCCGGAAATCCATTTTTACCGGGTTATACTCATCATCGAGACAAGAAGAAGATCAATCAATTTCATTAACACTTAATTTAATTACTTAGTGTTTAGTGTTAGTTAAGTTAATAAAATTGATATTGCGTTACTAAAATTTAGTTACTCGACTGATACTGAACTAAAGACAGAAAAGCAAAATTAATTTTAAAAAAATAATTCGTTTTGATTAATTCCTAAAACAAAATTCCGTAGTTTTTAAAATCAAGTCAAGTCAAAAAATATAAACTTGTAAAAAGAAAAATATCGAAGGAAACGAAAGTAAGTTTTAAAAAAATAAATATTGTTTTCACTTTTACAATACCTGACAACAATCTGGGTGACACGCTAAGATTTTTACATTTTTGGGCAGCCCATGTCGGTGAAAGTCTCAGCTTAGTCAACATCGAAGTTGTAGTATTGACAAGACATCGGACTGTGCACAACGCCATCATTAATTCAACCGGGTTATGAATTTTTGTATGTGTTCGCTGGACTTGAAATATAAAACTGAAAAGAAGTAAGGGATTACATATCTTTATACAGTGGAGTAGAAGTGGCGGGGATGATAAGTAAAATGATACCGTACCTTTATCATAGGTACGCAAGTACTTGAAAAAAGAAAAGAAAAGCAGGTCGCACATGGTTTTTTTTAACTGTTTGCCTACTAAAGTAACAATGATACAAGAAGATTTAATTCTTTAAAACATAAAGTGGACAGGCTTTAAGTTTTTTTTTTTTGTTTTTACTTAGTGACAATGTTTAAAAATAAACATTTTCGGTATAAAAAAAAATTAACCATTGAAGTAGTAGGAGGATCATTTGTTTTTACTTTTTTATGCTGTTCTAAGCTTCTTTGTAAGTACAAATTAAAATTAATCATTATGGTTAAAAAGACTTCATTAAATGATAATATGACTATCAACATCCATTCATTACTTCTTTAAGTTTTTTACACTTGATCTGATTATTATGGTTAGAAGAGAAAGTAGTTTAAAAACTAAAAAAAAAAAAAAAAGTAATGGAGGTACCATGACGGGCTTTGTAAAAAAAAAAATAAATAAAATAAATATCGTTGAAGTTAAATTTTGGTTTTGGAAGTTACATATGAAACAGAATAATAGTGGTCTACCAAAAAATCCGAATTATAAATAATAAATGAAACGTTAACTTTTATGTAATTAAAATTAAAAATTTTCGACATCAAAACATTGGCACGTTTTTTCACTCATCGACTCACCGCGATGCCATGGCAAACAACATTTAAAAATCCAATAGTTAGACTTTTTTTTAGAGATATGTTTCGAAGTTTGTTAGTAAATTTAAGGATTAATTAACTGGCTTTTGCATAAGTAATGTTTACTTTAAAACTTAATGAAAATAACGTTTATTTCCGTACCTGTGCAGCCTCCAAACATGCACTAAACAAAAATAAACATAACTTGTGACCTTGGCCATGCCAGCATAAGAAATGTTTCAACTCCCGAGACTACGTGTACACCCAACCATATTCCTGTACTCTTTACCAACAATAAACGTTGTTTCACTCTAAATCCATGTTATTCCTTTCTCTAGCTACCATACGCTTAATATAACAGTCTCATAAATTATCTAATTGCATCCAATTATTCTGAAATTAAAAGTTGAATTATCTTATTACTCTTCCAATAGTGAAACTGACTCACTCAAAGGTTATTTCCTTTTTGAACATTCATACAAAAATAATCTAACAGTTGCTAAAATGAAAAAAAATTGAAATTCTTTTAAAAAAGGTTTGCACTCAAAAATGGCATTAAACATTACAGTTTTAAATTCTTCAAACCTATCTTCATTTAACAAAAATCTCATCTGATGAAAAGTAAGTGGATGAATTTCAAAATCACAATGAAAAATTACTAGTAATTATTTTTAAAATCTTATACTCTGTTTCAAACTAAATCTTTTTCTGATTTACTCTATATCAAAACCTGTCATCTGGATTTCAACACTAAAAATAAAAAACGTTGCTGTCTATGCAGGGACACTGAGCATCATATCTAGCTCACCACCCCCATACAATATAAACGGAGCCAATCACAAATATTGCAGCTAAAACAAAAAAATGCTGAGTCATGATTTACCCTGTCTGCTTTTAACCACTATCACGCTGTATGTGATTTCATTTGCTGTACAAAAAGGTTTATCCTGTCACTGAAGGTGACTCTGATCCCTGAATTTGAATTTGTCTGAATTTTATAGTTGTGTTGTCATATCCTGCTATAGCAATAGTGAACCTTTGAGTGAAATTAATAAAGTTAATGTAATTGAGAAGCCTTGAAAAAGAATGTAGTGGAAAGGGAAATAATATTAAAAATGCAGCATGCATTTGCTCACAGTCCTAAAGGCAAATGCGAACAATCAGACAGGCTGTTGCCATTACCACTGGTGACCTCTGTCAACTGACCATACACAAAAGCATCAACTTCAGGCTCTACCAACTCTCTCCATTCTCCAGCTCACTTCCCTCACCCACAGAGACATTCTGCCTTGATCCTCTAGATCAGCAATACAAAGAATTTTATCTTAAAAATGGGCCACTTTTTTGTTTACTTTTTTTATTCTACCTCACCAACAGTATTTGCTGTTTCATTTATTCTCTCCTGCTACTACATGCACATATATAACAAAAATAAATTGATGTATTACTACTTTTTAATGGAAGTCCCACATATAAGAAGATGCAGACTGGATTCTTAATGTCACAATGTGACTATAAATAATTATCTGAGGCCAACTATGGTTAACACTGTAATATATCAATAAAATAGTACATTAAAGCTTATTTAAGCTGGTAAGTGTTTCTTATTTTCATTATAATTTAATGTACTATATATCTCAACGAATATGTTATACACATTTGGAAAACAACTTAAACATGGAGAAAATGTTAACGTTGACAAAACTAGACCTTGGCCCCTAACTCCCTCACAGTGGTTAAAAAATGGAGATATTGGGTGAGAATTTTAAATAACCTTTTTGAAGAATGTGAGGAAAATGCTTCAAATACTGAAGTTGCTTCTTATATAAGCAACTTTTAAAGAAATATGTCAAGATGTCAAATGAAATTTTTGCCAAGCATCTTCTTGCTACTTGTCACCAAAAACCTGGAGAATCTCTGGATAAATGAATTAAAATTCATGTTTTAAAATAATAAAATGAATTCAAGACCAGTTCCAAGAGAATCAAACCCAGAATTAATAACTAGTCAAGATTCAGTAAAATTGAGCAAAACCAAGGTCACCAACCTGTGACAATAGATATTCGCACTTACAGGATCCAAAGTGCCTGAGGTGTCTGGACTACTGTACCACCATTTATGAGAGGTCCAAGGTACATGCATGATGTTGAGCCTTTTTATGAATGTCAGTCATTTGCATACATTGACAACCACCCACTTTAAAAGGCAATATACAATGACGGTGAAGGGCAGAGAAAAAATTGGAAGTGGAAGCAAGCAAACATGAGATTTCTTCTTTTCTTTTTTTTTTTTTTTTTGCAAGACTGTGCTAATTGTTAACATGGTTACTGAAACTAAATAACCATCCACTTCTTGCTAATAAGAAGACATGATTAATGTGATAAAGAAGAATTTTGAAATTAGATTTGGAGATTCATTCTTATTGTACTATGTGTTCAAAATGTGTGTGTTCATACAAATTATTCTATACAAAGAAGAATTTTGAATTTTGTTGGTTCCTAAGCTGGAGATTTGTTTATGTTGATCACCCAAGAACACAATTATCATTACAAAAATATATCTAGGGAGATTCCAAACAAAGAGAGTACCATGTAGAAATTAACAAGATCTTCTAAGATTAAAGCAGTCAGGGTGGAGAAATTACATAGCATTGTAAAATGTCTTTTTGGGGAGTCATCTATATAAATGAGAACTCCCCAGTTCAAGACACAGAACATCAGGCCCCAAAAAGGAAGGTCAACAGACAAAAGTTACCATGTCCTCAAACAGGAATTATACAATTTTGTCTGTGGTATGCAATGTACCATAGACAAAAGTATACCCTATTTGTTAAAATATATAGTACATTAAATTTTAATGAAAATAAGAAGCATATATGAGGTTAAATAAGCTTTAATGTACTATTTTATTGGTATATTACAGTGTTAACCATAGATGACCACAGATAATTATTTATAGTCACATTAAGAATCAAGTCTGCATCTTCTTTCCTTTCACTGTGACATGTGATGCATTGGATGTTGCTATTTCTGCAACCTTGAACCAAGGAGAAAAACCTGTAGTATTCATGTCTCAAAACCTGCAAGTAAGTGAATTACACTGTTCTGTTGTTGAAAAGGAAGCACCAGCAATCACTGAAGCTGTTAGAAAGTGGTACCATTTTTTGGCACAGCAAATTTTCACTCTAATAAGTGATCAACACTTTGTAGCCTGACAATTGGAAAAGAACCAAGATCAACGATAGCAATGTCCACAAGTGGAAAATTGCACCATTTGCCTTCAGCTATTCAAATGCAATACAGATGTGATGAGAAGCATTTAAGCATTCCATACTACATCTGAAACAAATATATCAATAGAAGACAATAATCTTTCTTTCCCACCTGAGACCAATATACTGATGATGAGGTAGGGCTATGCTGATGACATAGTTATTCATAGTTGCAATAACAATGATCTTGAACAGAAAATCAACATTCTCTACCAAGTGTTCTAAGAAAAAGAACTTGAGATAAACCTTTCCAAAACAGAAACTATGATCTGGAATTGGAATGAAAGCAATAATGGCACATAACCTAAATCTATCATAAAAATTCAAAGAGAAAACATCAATACTGGAAAGAACAATAACAGCTACTGGACTTGAAAAACCTATTTTCTGAAAAGTTGTTTTAAACCTTTGAGCTCTGACCACTGCTTTACCGGTGGTAGAGAAAAAAGATGTAATGCTCAGCCACTTGTTGAGCAGTAGTAGAGAAAAATTATGTAAGGCTCAACCACCAGCTGGACAATGGTAGAGAAAAATGATGCAATGCTCAGCCACCGGCTGAACAATGGTAGAGAAAAATGAAATCAAATTATCTAATTTTCCTGGCAGAAACTAGAATGGACTTCTAAAGAAAAAGGCTGCTGCTCTTATCACGTTCAGCTGAAGAAACGTAAAGTTGCAAGTAAAAATTCAGGCATCTGCAAAAATATGATGAATAAAACAAGGCCTAACCAAGAATTTGCAGAATTCTCTGGAAAATGCCTTTCACATTATTTCCTGGGTCTTGTCTCAAGCTAGGATGAGAAATATCTTCCTTTTTCAGGCCTATCAACTTTTTGTCAATATTTATACAGGCACTGTAATAAATTCAGCAGACAGACAAGCCAACATCCATTCTTCAAGGCGGTCGTGATAAAAGAGAGAGCATCAAATGCTTCTTTTTCGCATGCGCAGAGTTCAAAAACATAGCACAGGCTCCCATTGGTCAATGTAGACATGTTTTCAGAGACAGATCCAAAAAGGGATTTTTTTAATCTTTATAGAGATAACTTCATGTTTGAGCTCTTATCCACAAATTAAAAGTAATAAGCTACATTAATTATACTAGAAGTTATGTAAATGCAAAATTGTTAAAAAATATTTGACTTACATTTTAGCTATTGATTTTAAACTTCACCTTTGATCAAGTGATGGAAAAAAGCAATTTAAGGATCAATATATTTCAAGCAAAGTCAATAAAATATGACTGGCAATTAGACAAAGCAATTAATTAGGAGACAAAGACATATTTTAATTAATATCTTCTCTTCACTTCCATAGAATTGTTTCTTAATATGACAAATCTTTCTTTGAAATCTGCTTGATCGTAACTGAGAGTAATAAATATCAATTTACCTTTTATTGATGGTGCAATGTTATTGTTTTACAGTTCTAATAAAAACTAAATCTCCCCTGCCTAACATTATTTATTCAACTCCAGATTTTGTCATTTACTGTTGGCAACTGGGTGTGGCATTGGGTTTTTTTTCTGAATGTAGATGCTACATCCTCATGAGGATGTAAGAGACACTCTCCTCTTTTCCCACTTGGTTAGGTGCTTATAGATATATCTGTCATCTGGTTTATCCCACATGTACACATCCCAAGAGCAGGTGGGTCAACCACTTGGTCACATATCAGCAGCCATTAATATTCTGTGAGGTGTGGATTTGCATCTGGTGATTAGGTGTCATCTTTCAAGTCAACCTGCTGATGCACCTGGCTTCTCTGAAGCTTCAGTGTAACACTGAGTGCAAAATTAATTTTAGCAACATATGGGATGATTCACATATTTTATTCTTACCACTTATAAATAAAATGGTTTTTCATTTTCCATAAAATTGGCAATTTGATTTGAAAAAATACCTGGTTGAATAGCTTAAAACTTGTTACAATTTATACAATATGCTTTATTTACCAACACTAATACTAACAATCTAAAAGCTTATAAAAGTGGAATTACAGAAGACAATGATGGTTTTAAACAAATTAACTTTACATTAAAAGAAAAATAAAACATTTTTAACTCTGATATTAAAAGCAAGGAAATAAATAGTCTTTGTAAAATATTTTATAATTTTCCTTGTTAACAAACAAACCAGTTTTAATACAGAATTTAGTCTTTGGATGTTTTTTGTTAGTTCTAATTTCTTAATTTTATTTTTAGCAATCTGAAAAGAATATGAAGTTTAAAGATATATAATTAAAAATGACTGAGGACAATAATTTTAGTGTGAAATTTAAATCATTATTTTTAACTTCAATTTCTTTAAAAGTTTCAAAAGCATTTTTTTCATTTGAGCTTTCACATTTGTGAGAAAATGTAGTCAAGGAGGTAAACACTAAACAGCAGTCAAGATTAGTCAACTAATCAAGATTAGTCAACTAATCAAACAAGCTCAACAAAATAATCAAGTGACAGACACAAACAGGAATACAATTTATTAAAACAGAACATTTTTATTTGTGTAAAAAAAGTTATTTTTGCTTTTAACAATGCAATATTTTTTCATTCACTTTACAATTCTAGCAATCCTGATTCTAGTTTTCACATCAATATTTCTCTTTAACTCCATCACCATATAATCTTCAAACAAAGTGCAGAAACAATAGACAAATTTAACTGAAAAAGAATTGTTTTTTTATCACTTTTGAAACATTCTTTCACTATGAGGGAAAATAAATATGAATTAACCACAGGTTTAAAATTCTAGTTAAATTGATAAATTTTAAAAATAAGACTAGATGAAAAAGCCTATTAAGAAGTAATAAACTTCAATATTTATAATCAGTAGAGAACTAGCAGATTTCTTCCAGTTAAGTTAAAAGAGATTAAAAATCATTCTACTTTCTACAGTAACAAAACTTTTACTTCATGCAACTTTCATTTGAGATAGTATGGCTATTGCATGCCTATATATATATATATATATATATATATATATATATATATATATATATATATATATATATTAATCTACTTATCAAACAAAAATATTAGCTCCTATGATTTACAAAATTTTTCACTCTTCAAATTTGTCAGAAAATTTATAATTGTCCAAGACTTCCATAAATAGTTTTTGGCAATTAATCTGGCACTTGAGTTTAGTGCATATCAAAAAAGCACCAGACATTTTCCGGTGTAAAGAATATGATTCTTCAGGTGGAGGGGTTAGCCGATGTTTCACCATTACAGGTATGAGATTTTGGATACGGTTGGTGGTGCTCTGAGAACTAAAATTAAAAATACCATCATAAGAGAAAGCCTCCCCAAGAATCATCACTGTGTCAATGTGGGCCTCTTTCATGACTTTTGTTTCATATCCAGTGAGGAACCCAAGCTTTTGGGACCAGAACAAGATCCCATCACGATTTTGGTCAGCAGCAGACTTGATTACTTTCATATATTTGTCAACAAAGTTTTTATTGAATTTTCGAGTGGCTCCAAAATCTAGCAGTCCAATTTGGTTAGTGTTTGGAAGAAAAAAAAAATTTGACCAGTTAGGATCAGTTTGCATAAAGTTAAAGATAAATAATTCTTTTAATGTAAGACGCAGAATGTTTTCCCCAATCCAGTTTTTGGTTTCCTGGTCAATTTCACTGCACTGATCAACGGGAACACCTTCTAGATAATCAGTTGTTATAACTCGAGTAGTGCTTAATTCTAGATGAACCTTGGGAACAACAAACACATGGTCATCTGCTAGTAACTCCCAGAATCTTGTCCCACAAGATGCTTCCCTTTCATAATCAACTTCCCAGGATAATTCCTTTTTGGCAACCATTATTAAGTTGTCCATGTAAATACCCTCTGGAATAAAGTTCCACACTTTCATCACAGACATAAGATTGTTGATGTCACTATCAATACTTCTAGCAACTCCTGGATACTGGATTTTCATAGCAGCTTGTTTACCATTCAATAAAGTCACTCGATGCACCTCACCAATTGAAGCAGCTGCAAAAGGCTTATTATCAAAGGAAAGCACTTTACTTTCCCAGTCATGACCAAGTTCTGTATTCAACACCCTCTTCATTTGCCATTCTGGCATGAAGTCTGCACTGTGCCGAACTCTTTCAAATATTTTCTGCAGTTCTGGGTTGATAAATGAATTATCCTGAATGCTCAGCATCTGGCCCAGCTTGAGGGCTGCACCCCTCACCTGACATAATGTATTCACAATTCGTTCTATGTTTGCTTCAGTTAGGAAAGGACTTGGCCCAAGAATAGTGTTGGCAGCTTGTTCTGAAGTTTTCTTGCTCAGCGTTCGTCTGGTTACTTCAGCCAGCGCCCCCATGCCAAGGCCAGCTGCAAGACCACTGTAACTGATCAGCCGAGCAAATCTTGATGCTGGCACTTTAGTCTCTTTGGCCACACTGGATAATTCTTGTTTCTTTGGTAAATTTTCATATTTTACTTTTGGAGGAATGGATTTGGTTTTAGATGAAGGAGGAAGCATTGTTGTTGTAACTTCTGCTTCTGATTTGCTTACAGTCTTTCCAGTTACAGGTTCAGGTTTGACATCAAGAATTTCTTCTGCAGTTATACCTTGCTGAATGGGTTGTGTAATTGGCTGGATTAAAGGTTCATTTATGAAATTCTTGAAAGTGATAGGGGATTTGTAATCCACAATGTCCTCTTTAACCATAAAATCATCTGACATAGGGAAATCTTCCACATTTACTGCTTCTTCTGTTTTAGCTGCCTGATCATGGTAATTACTAATAATCATAGATATCTGGCTGAGCACAGTCTTAATAGAGGAGGCTTGGCAAGAAGCTAGCTGCACACCATCTAGCACTCTCTCAGATATCTCATGCCTACTTGCAGTAGCCTGCTGCAGATTGTGAATAGCCCATGAAGCTGCATTTTCAGAAGGTGTCTTGAGGCTGGAATTGTTCCAGCAAGTTTTTATTTCTTTGCTATGAATTTCAGCAAGGGCCTTAAAGATGCATTCAAGACCTTTATAGACACCAAGAACGTCACTGGTATTTCGTGACATGGTTGTAATAGTGACAGGAAATCCAATCTGCTTTCACTGGAACTTAAAAATCAACATGAATCCCTGGAAATAAAAAAATAAAAGAAAGAAATCAGCTCCTGTTGCTAAAATATGTTCTGGAGTTAAATTAAATAAAACTGATGAAGTAGAAACACAAAATAAGAAAGAAAATCTCTCCACAAGACCTCATCGTACAAGTGGATAACAAAAAATAGAAAAAAAATAGAATGTCAAAAATCAACTGGACTTAGCAGGTAAATAAAAACAAAAATCTTAAAGAAATATTTTTTATTGCAAACAAAAGCCCTAAAATATAAATTAAAAAAATAAAAAATCTACAAAGGAACATATTTTATTTATTTTTTTAAAATTTGCAGACTAAGGTATCAAACTTATCTTCTGGGTTCCAAATATTTATTTTTCAAGAACTTTTTTCCTCTAAAATCTTAGAGATTGACTGCTCTAAAAAATATTTTCTTCTGCTAAAAGTTTTATTAAAATCCAATAACTATATGATTTTTGAACAAGGGTCTCAACTTTGCATCAACCATCAGGCAGATACCATACTTAGACTTCACAAAAGGATAACAACACTCAGAAAACAGTCTTGGTCTGCCTACCCTATGTGAAGGGATTATCGGAAAAAATACAAAAGATCTGTGGTCCATATAACATCAGAACAACCTTCAAAAGTGGTTTGATACTTCACAGACACCTCTTACGAGTAAAATGTTCCATAGAGAACATGATTAAGAACTGTGTGAATGCCATCCCATGCAGCTGTGGCAAGAAATATAAAGGAGAAATAGGATGCCCCCTTAAGATAAAACTACAGGAACACTGTAAAGCCATAACACGAGGGGAAATAGAAAAATTAGGTGGAGGGAAAAGGGAGATCACCACTCCCTGTAGGACGAGGTTGAAATAATAGACAGAGAACATCACTGGAAAATATGAAAACTTAAGAAATCAGTGCATATGCTAGGCCACAAAAATTTCCTGAGCTGACCAAGCATAGAAATGAATACAATATGGGAATCAGTAATACAGAGTGCTAGAGAATAGCAACAACAAATTGTAATATGAGCTCTGGTTAAAAATGGTTACCAAAAATTCATACACTGATGTCCCTAAGGACAAAAGCATTATTTGAAGTAATCCAGTTCAATACCTGGCCACAGCAGATGTGAACAAAAAAAGAGTCGAGTTACTCAAAGTAAATAAATGAAACTGAGATATCCAGAAAAGGCATGGCACATGGAACTAGAACACTCTATCCCAGTGAATAAAATAAAGTGTTCGGTTCGAAATTCCATCACCTGAAGAAAGCCAGAGTGTACAATGGCCGAAATGACAACAATCTGAACAATGTAAAATAGTTACAATACCTCATTTCAGAAATATGGACAAACATTTTTTAGATGCAAATATATCCAGTTCTGCTTAAAATATAGAAATAATATATATATATATATATATATATATATATATATATATATATATATCTCAGAATTTTTTCTATTCTTTTAGAATGTTTTAAATGACTATATAAATAAGTCTTATGTTTCATAGCTTTTTTACTCAGTGTTAAACTTTCAATGAATATTGGGAGCAATACTTGTTAAAATCAATCATTTGGCTCTCTGAAAGAAGCTCTGTGGGGAAAACGAAATAAAATTGATGAATAAAATAATAATAAAAAAAGAAAAAAGAGATACATTTTCCCATGATGTAAAGGAATTGGAAATATGATTACCTCGCTTGGCTTTGTAAAATGCCGTTAGGTGCTGTTGAAGTCTATAAAAAGACAAAAATTTTCCTGCATCAGCTCTTTGTAAAACCATGTGGTAATTACATTGAGGAATGTTAGTTTCTCCAATCCACTAACAGCTGAACTCTCTTTTCATTTTGCAACACATGTAGCTCAAACGTGTCTTCCAAAAACTTCCACCTATGAAGTAAATCAAGCTTTCTCTTTGGTTGTTCCAACTCAGCACAAGGCCATTGTAACGCTGCTTATACTTACTTACCCTAAGTTCTAGACATCCCATAACTATGTTTAAATCTCCCATTGATAAAATAAGTAAAAACCCTCCTTTGGATGTTCCAACTCCGTACAAGGCTGACTTGAGTTTGACCATTAATACAATGCTTATACTTACTTACTCTAACCCCCTGGACTAAAAAGAAAACAGACATAGCCAAGATACATTAAGAACTTTGTCTCACTTACAGTCACCATAAAAAGAGAATAAACGGTCTGTGGTTGCAACTCAAGTTTTTGCATGCTGCTACTTCTTAATTGTTTACATATGAATACACACCCACATAAAATATACACAGACATGGAACCTTTTTTAAAATTCCATTATCTCATAGTAGAGGATACCTTTAAACCCCACCATATAAACAGTATCAATTTCTTTGTATGAAAGAAGTTTCATATGGTGTGTAGTGCTTCATTTTGCTCACAATCTCACATTGTTGTTTTCATAACTTGTCAAATAATTTTCATTATCTTGACGCCTCTCATCAAAGTATAACCAAACTGATGTGATTTTTAATTATTGATTTGGATATTTTCTGTATTGTCTCTCTCATTGTACAATGTTTAGTCTTGATTTGATTGCTTTTTAAAGTTTCTGTTTAGTTTAAACATCAACTCGTCTAACCAGCAGCACAGTAACGTTCAATGAGAATTCTCCAACATGAAACACTGAAAGTGAAAACGACTTTTGTTTGACTTTGAGACATTCACAATATCTTCTCCATAAAAAAACGATCAAATACTGTTTCTGAATTAAATTTACCGTCTTTCATAAAAAATGCTGGGTTCGATTTTTTATTCTATTCAGGTAACTTAAAATTTCTCAAAAATTAAAAATTTCCGAAAGAAATTAATTTTGCGACATTTATTACATTTATTATGCATTTTCATACAGAAAACCTTCAGTAGTTTAAACTTTTTAAAGTAAACTGAAGTCTTCCAGTCTGTTACTGACTTCATAAACAAAGTAATTCCCAGATGTCTTACACAGAGAATTCATTACAGATTATTCGAATTTCATTTTAATATCCTTTCACTTTTTCAACTTTCAGCAATTAGTCTCGCCTTTTTCGTTGATTTCAAATGAAATAAAATAAAATCCACATTTCATTTAGTCAACGAAAGTCACATAAAATGTTAACATAAGAAAATATTCTTTTAAAACTTACGTAAGGTAAACAAGTTATTCTTTATCGTCCTTGGCATTGAAATGACATACCAAAGTCATCCTTAAATTGTGAAATAGCTTCGCGATCTCTGTTTCCTTATCCATAAGTGTTACCAACGATGACACAAGAAGTGACAAGGGTAAAAACAGGGGCTCAAACCAGACGGAATTACTTGAAAACCGAACCGAAAGGTATTCTTTTCACAGGAGAATTGTCGTTCTTGAATAGAGCGCCATCTCGTTTGTCAATAAAGAAAGATAACTCCTGGATCATTAATTACAGTAATTTTCCTTATTTCACCACATATTTACTGTTATTAGTTAACTAGGAGGCTATTTTTTGCATATGAAACAATTTTTTTAATGACAAATAGGTTTGAATGGTAAACTATCAATATAATTTTGCCATAATGCAGAATATAATTTTGACCTTATGCAGAATGAAAATATCCTCACAACTGTAGAATTATTATAGATTTTTTGTTATTACAGTTATTTATTTATAAGGAAATTTTAATTTACATTTTCAGAAAAACTAACAACCATTTTACTGTATAATGAAGTGATGCATATACTGATCTAATTTAAAATCATGCAGTAAAGATTAAATAACAATTGCATTTTAATGAAGTTCAAAGAAATACTTTATAAGGGATTCACCCATTATTTTGGATTTTATTGTATCTTATAATTTTTGTTTCTTTTTGTTAATTTTCTACATACTTCGAGATGAACCTTCAAACAACATTTAATTTAGGCCATTTTATAATTATAAAAGTATAAACAACAGAAAAATATGAACATTTTTTAATTTATATTTTCAAAAGTTAATTTTGACCAGGGAATGTAGTTCATATAAGCACTTTCTGTAGCAGTAGATCAGCGAGAGGCTTGCCACATCCCACCTATGGGAGAGAGGTTGAAGGATGAACAATTCGTCGCTCACAAGGGCTCAGAGATTTTTTTTAACTCTGTCAAGCCTGGAGAGTGAGATCAGAGCAGATCCCACCAAAATATGACAACAGTACTCCATTTTTTACCTGATCTGGCTCTTGTAAAGGTAGAGGATAGCAGGAGGAATCAGGTACTTACTGCACTGGTACAGAGAGCCAACCATTTTACCTGCATCCTTAGCAATGGAGCATATATATGAGTTCCACTTGAACAATGTTGTTGTAAAGAAAAGACTGTCAACTGATAGTAGCAACTGCAATAGATTTCTTGTTTCTCGGCCGCAACACTTGTAGCCAAATCGCAGTTCACACGATAGTCCGACATAACAGCCCAACACACACCGTAGAAACGACAAAATGGGGTCACAAATCCAACCTTCACTTCTCGCCAACAACAACGCGTGTTCATCAGATTTATTTGTACATTAAAATACAAATTGTGGCACAAGGCCGAAAAGGGGAGGGGTAGAGGCTGGTCAAAACTAACTATCTTATACCGAGCTAATCTGATTCACGACCCATTCATTCATTACAATTTACTCATTCACCACGAGAACTCATCCATCACTGTTCAATCCTTCATCCACCATAATACCACATCCTCTCCAGGGGAACCTACAAAAACGCACCCCACGCCATAAAAATTTGATGAAGATAGACAATATACATAAAATTCTAATAGTGATAAAATGAGAGGGGAGGGGAGATGAACTCAATAATAAACTAAAATCAACACAAAATGCAAACTAAACATAATTGATGTTAGTAGGGACCGTCCAACCCTCAAAACAGAGAGGCCGCTGTATTCTGCCCAGAGGACAGAATCAAGAGGCGCTCTCGCTAAGGAAGTGGGAAAAAGGATAAAATATTATGCGGGAATAGGAAAGTATAAAGCTGACCCAGTCGAGATGAAAGGGGACCAAAACAAACTGGGGAGGATGGGAATCTCGACTTGGATCATAACCAAAGAGCAGCCGAGATACAGGCCAGGACCAACATTTACTCACATTAACTAGGTACACTGAAGGTTGTCTAACCTAACCAAGGGGAGGGTTCCACAGGAAACCACCCCGATGTGCCATAGGTTGACCTAGAAGAGAAAATCAAGGCTAGCCCCGTTCAAACGAACCAAGCTCGCCTCTTTTACACACCTTTCGCTAAAGACTGTCGAATGCAATCGTTTTCTATCAGTTCTAATCTTCATCTTGAGCTGATGCTCAAAGAATCGGATTAGATCCTGATGAGAAAGACGATCACCTCGCAAGACTTCCTCCTTCCGCGTCGTCTAAATCACCATTCGAGCCGTGGTCAGCAGCGTCAGAAACACCATCCGTTTCACCCCGGAATACGGGGGCGACACATTGTCACACGCGTATGCGCGATCAATGAACACAAGCTGTTCGGGAGCGAGACGAGCCGTCAGCTCGCCGACATGGTTCATAAGGTGCGGACCCGGGGGCAATGGTAGAAGGCGTGCGAAGCCGTTTCCTCTAAACCAAGGCCACACCGTTCACAGTCTGGCAAATCCGCCAAGCCCCATATGAAAGCCTTGTACAACGCGTGTTCGTTTCACAGCTCAAAAAAATCGTCTCCTTTTATAAGCGAAAAACAACGACTTCTGTTCACCGAGATAATTTTATGATTGGTCACGCCATTCAGGGGAGGGAAGAACATTAGCATAGCTTCTAGTCATTGATGTAGATTTTTGCTAACTACTTTTTGGTAATTTTTCTTCGGCAGATCGCACACAAAATACGAACTTTTTTTCGGGTTACCTGATTATCTCTTTCACTACCGGTTGGGTGTGAGTATGAGACCCAACAGTCTTTCAAGGTACAGTGCTTCCCCGAGAGGAACTCCATTCATCCTGATTGGTTGTAGTTTGGGTTCAGATTGGCAATGATGGAATGTAACTTGCTTGGTCTTTGAAGCATTGAATGTAACCAGCCTTTTACTTTCTAACAGACGTGCTGTGGCTTCCCTCTGTCTTTTCTACAAGCATTTTCATGGTAACTGCTCTGACAAGCTACTTTCACTGGTTCCCAATCTGCATGAATTTAAGCGTGCTACTAAGTTGGCATCTTGGTCCCACCCTTTCACTGTCAAAACGGCTAAATATAGCCATCTCTTCTACTCCAACAGTTTTTTTTTTATCTTGCACCTCCCATCAGTGGAACTCCCTTCATATCACTTGCTTTCCTGATAGCTATAATCTTCAAATATTCAAACGTAATGTCAATCGACATTTTCTGACGCCTTGATCTTGATCCCTGTCCTTCTCTCTATCCTTTTCCCAAACACCCCTCTTTACTCTTACTCTCATTCTTTGTAACAACTTGTATGCTAGTGGCACTTCTGCCTTGGATTGATTTGCTCAAAAAACAAAAAATATATACTTAGGCAGATCATTTATGTAGATCAAAAGAAGGGTTAGCCTGAGGAGTGACACCTGGGGGATGCCTGTGTTGACCACTAGGGCTCCGGGGGACTGGTCATTGATAACTACCTTCAGGAATGATTTTATGATTGAGAAGACCCTTCCAGTGATTCCATAACTGGAGAGCTTGTGTAGTAAACCTTTGTACCATACCTTGTTGAAGGCCTTTGAGATATCTAGTGCTATGGTCCTTGAGGTATGTTTGTTGTCGAGAGTTTCACTGATTCTGTGAGTGATGGTAGTTAGGATGTCAGCAGTGGATCGGGCAGACCGAAACCCATAATGCTCATTGCTGAAAAGTTTTTTTCTTTTCTAGGTATTTGATAACCTTCTTATTGACTGGCTTCAAAAAGCTTACTGATGATACTGAGCAGACTGACGAGCCTGTACTGGGAGGCGGAAGATCACATGCTCATGTTTTTAAAAACTGCATTTACGCTTGACACTTTCCACAGGTTTGGGAAGGATTTCTCCTCCAAGCAGCGGTTGAATAATTTTGGTAGGATTGGGGATAGTTCTGAGTTGATGTTTTTAAGGACAACCACTGAAATTTTATCTGGACCAGTGACTTTTTTAGGGTCAAGGCCTTTGATAAGTCTAGAGACTTTACATGCAGTGATGGTAATATTACTGAGATTGTGCCCAGTGAGACGTGGGAACTTGGGGAGGGGATGGTATTTGTCAGTTGAGTTAGAGGCAAAGATGGAGGTGTCAAGGAAGATATGACCTCAGGGCCATTTACAATTGTGGGCACAGCTGCTTTACTTCTGTTCATGATTTAGTTGGTGATCTTCCAGAATTCACGGGATTCAATGTTTCTTTTCAACCTTGGTTTGAAATGCTTGTGTTTTACTGTATTTGGCATATTCTAGAACTTTTTGCAGCAGTTTTGAATGCAGTGAGGGTCGAACTACATCGCTCCTTACAACAGATATTGAAGTAATGGTTTTGGTGAGTTATGGCTGCAGTGCATTCAAGGAGTGAACAAGAGTTGACTATTTGGTTTTTGCTGGATTTTTTTTGTGGGTATAAAACTCTCCATTCCAGAAAGTACCCAATCAGTGACAAGGGCAGTAGTTTTTAAGGTAGCATACTTGAAGAAGGTTAGGAGGGGGGCTTCTATCATGTAGGATTGAAAGCTGTCCCAGTCTGCTTTCATATAGTGAAAAATCGTTCTATGGAATCAAGGGATGCCTTACGTTTGGTATCAGTCTGGGCACTGATTAGGGAATTGTCTGATGTTCCCAGAAGGTGGTAAAATTTTTGATAGGCATTTATCAAGGCAAGAGGTGAGGAAGAGATTGAGGAGGCTCACTTGATATCCCTTGACCCAGGTAGGTTCTCCAATGATTTGGGTTAGTTCATAAGTGATGGAGAAGTTTCTGCAATATCTACCTTCAATATCAGTTTTGTTGGAGTTGACTAGCCAATTTTTATGATGAATATTGAAATCACCACAGATATGAAAGCTGGTCGAGGGGAACTGAGTGAGGATATTATCAATCTTCTCAGATATTTGATTGAAGATTACCGTCCCTTCTCTCCTGAGGACAGTAGAGAGCAAAGACAAATGTGGTACTCATTTTTTGCATCTCTGTCGGCCCCGAGTTTGTGGCCATGATGATTTAGGTGGTCATGCTTGGCTATA